ACAAAAATTTTGGGGAAAACTTTATTCTTGTGGTTAAGAAGTATCTTCAACCATTCCCTAACAATCCCCTTTAAAGATTTTAGGTTTTTCCAAAACCCTAAATTCTTTCTTGACGCCGGAGCGTCCTCATTTAGTTATTTTGTTTCTTTTATTTCTGTAACCCTTTCTTAGTTGTTTTGTTCATGTAGCCTTTTCTGCTTCGGACCGCTTGGTCTAATTATACTGTAGCCAAACACATTACGGGAATGTATAAATAGATGTAAAGGGAATAAAGAAGGCAGAGAGGTTTATCAATTATTTTCTTTCCCTGTATTCCCGCGGGGTATGATTCTTTTGCTGTATCCTGAACTCTATTGTTCGGGTGGTGGTAAGGCTTGCATTGTCTGTATCCTGAATTCTATAGTTCAGGTGGTGGTAGTTCTCTGATTTGTGAAGAGCGTAACACTTGCCCTGGTGTTCGACTCGTCTCCGAGGTGCAATCATGTTTCTTTAGAAGTACTGCTTGTTCTCTGGCGGAGTCATTTCTCCTAAAAAAATCTACATGAAAAGGAGAAATTTCTTGTTTAAAAACTCACCTTAGTCTCCCTTGATTTTCCCTCTATGATTTCCCCCAAGTTTGGCCGTCGGAAACTGCCACCCGTAGCCTAACCGTTACCTCCCGTCCGCCTCTCTCTCCATTTCCTATTTTGGCCGAACGAAACAATTGTGCGAATGGGAAGGGACCGAATGGGTTCAGTCCCTTAATGCTTTGGATGTTTGGGGAAGATTCCAAATGACTCAAATGCCCTTACATGCCTTAGGTTTATTTAAAACTAGGATCGGCTATTTAGTCATTTTTTAAAAAAATTTAAGAAACTTCTATGATTTTTAATTTCGAAACTATTCGAAATATCCTATAATTCCTCTATATCGTTTCGATTGAAATTTAATGTACTATTTTATGAAATTATTTTCGTCGAAAACCGACGATTTTGAAAATTCACCTAAATTTCATCGCAGCGCATCGAAATGCGTGCAATGCTTACGATCGACATTTTTCCGGGTTTACAATAATACCTGAATTAAAACTAGCACACATACTGCTTTTAAAGTTTGCTACCACATGGCTAAAAATGATAAAGGCTAATACATTTGTTTTTAAATTTTCCTCAAAAGTATGTGTTTGAATGACATTAGGTTGGTTCTTATACAAATTAATGTCGAACTAGGAATTTATGTATTGTTGTAGAAGATGAGATAAGAAATTAAATGGTTTCAATGAATTTGATATGTAGATGATATTCATGAATTTGATCAAGAAATAAGTAATTTTTTATGATGCATTATCGAAATATTCTTTAAATGTCTCGTAATATATTATTGTCGTAGCTATAAAGTTGAATTTGGTTGAAAAAAAGTATATTTCAAACAATTTTCATGATGACAATAAGGTAATCCTGTGATAATTGAGGAAGTTTTATGAATGTTGTTGTTATTTTAGGCTATTAATTGCATGCAATTAAAATTTGAATCACATCGATAATCCTATCTATTATTCTGTGTAGATAAGACTTGAATTTCTATTACACAAAGATGTTTAGTGTAAGACTGGAATTTCTATTACACCAACGTGTTTAGTATTAGTTCAACTTGCTATATAGATTTACGCATTATCTTGGGCCTTCTGTTGTTATATGATTTAAATGTTACTACTTTTGGAAAGTTTAGGCTCAAAAATAATGGAATAAGAATAATACTAAAGCCTACAAAACCTAATGTCTGCTTCATTTAAAAAAAAAAAAGTCTATTGCTCTTAATAAATTGGAAAAATCATTGCATATCTTAAACCAACGAGCTTTTTAAGAAGAGAGTCTAAACATAGTGATTTATGCTTTCTTGGCTAATGATTATAGAATCTGAAGATGGTATTATTGAAATTTTGAATATACGTGGCATTGTTAGTCATATATTTATTAATATTATTACTTAATATTCTATTATTCTTTTAGGTGATTTATCACTACCTATAAGCATTGCTCTTAATTTAACTCATGAATCATCTTTACTTAATCTGTCATATATAGGATGAATCTAACTTAACAAACTAAACTTAAAAAGATTGTTATTAGATGCAACAACAATAACAACAACATCAAGCCTTTATACTACTACGTGTATTCAGCTATATGAATCCTTTTTTTTTCATTGTGTACTGTTAAGAGTAAAAAAAATATTGTTAGTTGGTTTGCCAAAAAAATGATTTATTAAAGTGTTTTAAGTTTTCAGGTGGTTCAAGCATTGTGCATATCTAAGAACAGTGGTAGTTGTTATGTGATTGTAGGTTGCAGAGCAATTAATAGGATTGCTATCAAATATTAGTTTCATATTCTTAGATTGGATGATATTCTTGATATGATGTTTAGATCTATGATTTTTTTTTAATAATTTGATTTAAGCATTTTCAATAATCAAGCATGTCTGTATGATAGAGATGAATGAAAAATTAATTTAAGAATTAAAGATGGATTATATGAGTTGTTAGTTAGGTCATCAAGTCATTCAAATTAACTAATGCATCATACTTCTATGAGAATTAATAGTAATGTTCTTCAACATTTCAATGGAAATTTTGTTGTCTTATATTTTGTTGCGGCATAAAGTAAAATTAAAGAGAACTATTTGATACATCTTAGAAATTTTTTTAAAGTGTTATAGAAAGAAAGATTATATCTAAATTAAAAAAAAAATGAAGTATTGTTATATTGGCGAAGGAAATATCTATTGAACATGACAATAATTTAATTGTTGGCATAAATGCACTAATATTCATGAGATTATACCTGCCCATGTTTTAGCTATATTTTATAAAAATTAGATAATTGAGTGCTATCATGACACATATTTGAAAGCTATTTTTGAAGGGGAGAATTCCATTAGAAAAATCCGGCGATCATAATTTTAAAGATATTAAGAAAACAACTTCAAAATACACATGTACTTCGTTTGCCATTTTTTTTTTGAAGTATTTATAGCTTTTTAAGATGCTTTAGGTATACAAATTGGAGGTGTTTTAGGTCAGGAACATCTTCTTACTTAAGTTAAGAAGAAATATACTAAAACTACATAAAAGTATTCTAAATATGATAGAAAATTTTATGCCAGGGTATATGCTCTTCGATGTTGGAATTGCCAAAAGAATTTATTCTTTAAAATGATTATCATACACTTTGGTATCTAAATTCAAAAATGAAATTAAGACATGCTAAAAAAGTTTGAGTATTTTCAAAACTAAACTCTAATGCTAAAATATTATGCTAGGATATAAAATAAATGAATCACCCATATTTATTAAAGAGATAATTAGAGATACTTGTCATTTTAAATTAACTTGTTTGTACTCTCAATTTTTATTCAAGAGCTTTCTTTTTTCTAAAATTACATGTTGGTGTTGTTGCAATTCATTTTTGTAGGGATAAAATAATATCTTTTCAGTATATAGTAGATATAAAATGAAATGTTGCACTAATAATGTCATATCGCAGGACACTTTACCTATTCTTTATAAGCACGAGGAAAATCTCAGCATGGATTATGGATTTGGATTACCTGTATCTTTTGAGTAGCATGCTTATATATTTTGTTTTAGTGTATTGTTTTTTTTCTTCAATGACACTTTTATTCCTTTTGATAAATTTAATAAAATTGCTGAGGCATTTTATATAGCTAAATTATAATTTTAATGAGATTCTTAAATTGCATGAGTTACTTAAAACTATTGTATGTAACAACTAACAAAGATATAACATTTATGTGTTATTTTGAATTTTTTTAAAAAATTAATAGGAACTAACTTAAATTTCTTCTAATCATCTACAAATTAATGGATGAATTATAGTTAATAGAAGTACGGGTTATAATTTACAATTTTGGTAAGTAAACAAGCATTTTGTTGGAATTTATATTATAATTGAGATTGCATGTGATTCATCTTTCTATAGATCTATATTCTTATGTTTATTTGAAATTGTTACAGGATTTTTGCTTAGAAACCCTATAGTTTGAATTGATCTTGATATCAAATGTTGATCTAATGAATTTATATAATCATTTGCACAACATATACATGATTTGATAAAAATATTCATAGAAATTTACTATTACTTTTGCTAATTATAAGTCTATTCTAGATGCGAACATGAGATTCATGGAATTCAAACTATATAATACGGTAATGGTCCATCTAAATTCTAAAAAGTTTATACAAGAATTTCAAAGAAATTAATTGTTGAAAAAATGGGATTATAAGGTCATACAATGAATTAAGAGTGAATGCTTATAACTTTAAAATCTCAGGAAATTGTGATATTAGTCCAGCTTTAAATCATGATTTAAGAAGGTGAAAACAGGAACTGAGGCCTTTTCTTTAGCTAGGCAAGATGTGGCATAAACTTTGGAGTAGCAAATAAAAAACTCATAAAATTAAAAATAATTTATAAAGATGATATTATCCATTGATATATTTACTTAGGTTATCATTATAAATATATAAATAATAAATCCTAATATTAATTGTCAATAAAAAATGAAAGTTTAGAAATATATGTAAAAAAATTAAAACCTAAAATATCTAAAGGTATCAACTAATGCCTTTGATTCTTCTTTCTTTTCTCCTCTTTCTTTGGAATTCACTCCCAACACATTATCTGTCTAACTTTTTGATAAGAACTTTTACTTGAAGTTAGAATAGTTGATAAAATTGTGACTATTGATTATATATATATGAAAGGTATCTTTATGATGGAGGGATTAGTTTGCATATGATAACTCATATATTTAAAAGTGACAGGGTAACTTTTGCTTGAAGTTAGCGCAGGCTTCGTTAGGGGCTGCTTTCTTACTGCTTCTTGAAGCAGCTTTTTAGTTCAAATATTTTATTTTTTTTACTAAAAAATTGTTTTAAGAAGCCGTAAGAAAGTCGTCAAAAACGAAACCTGTGTCTAATTCTGCTTTTGTTTGTGCAGATTCTTGGTCCCACCGCAAAGCTCAATGTTTTATGAGATTGGGATATTTTTCTCCCAGAAGCTAATTCTATTGAAGCTCAACCATACCTGGCTTTCTGGTTTCAATATGAAGGTACACGGATATTCTCATTGTACTAAAGATTCCAATAATATTATGGCGCAGTTAATCCATTGCTGCACTTGCTTTAAAATTTTGAACTTTTTTGTGGATTCATAAATTAACCAGTTTTAGCAAAGATGTGCTTAGATTATTTGTTAGTACTCTATCAAGCTTTGTGAATGTTAGACTATTTTACATAAGCCAGCAAACTCATTTAATGGCTTTATAGGTTGGGGCTCGAGCCTGATATATTTACCTACCTGCAAAGTTAGCTAGGCGGAAGCTTTCCTTTGTATTATGTTGCTGACGCATTAGTGTTCTTTTCCAGCATGAACATTTTTTTTATTCTAAAAAGTGCTTTTTAAGCACGCTTTTCTTGCCCCCAATAGTCCGCATGATAATTTAGAGAATTATATATATCATTTTTATTATGTCAAAATATAATATAAACAATAGTAGAAAAAAAAAACGAAACAAAAAATGATAAATAAATAAATAAGATGAAAATTAGCGACAGATAAATTTTGAATTTTTGGAGGAGCATTGCTCTTTGCGTTTATTTTTCAGTTCATTTTGCAGAACCTTTGATTTTAAGATGTTTGGTATTTCATTAAAGGAATTCTAATATTTGATTTTAAGAATAATAAAAAGATTTTTAACCCTTCATTTAAAAAACTTGTTAGACTAATATTTTCTCTGCTTCCTTTGGAATGATTTTTTTATTACTTATAAAAGTAGCTTTTTAGTACAAAAATTAAAGATGCTTTAAGAAGCAGTAAGAAAGTCATCCCAAATGAAGCCTTAGGCTTTGTTTAAAACTGCTTTTCAATTGATTTTGTGACAAAAAATAGTTAGTAAAAGATAACAAATGCTTGAAAGATAATTTTTTTATCATCATATTAAAATTTTGACTCTAAAAGCTATTTTTTTAAAAAGCACTTTTAAAAACAAAATTAGACAAATTTAAACTGCTTGACAAAGCCTTAATCTTTATAAATTGTACAAAGATTTGCATCATTTTCCTTCTCAAAATACTAGCTTTTCTCTCTCATTTTTTATTGTGCATAGTAATCTCTTTTGTTACTTCGTATTCTTCAAACAATTCTATGTTATTCCTCTTTTTTTTTTGGAAGTGTGCTGAAAGGAAAACACTTGTGAATGTTTACCTTTATAAACATGTTTTTATACTAAGTTGTTGCAAATTTATAATAAACAATGATCTTAAAAAGTTAGTAAAAATAATCATACAATCAATTTATTCCAAGCTTATCTAAAAAGATGGGATCCATCACTTGACTTCACTTAGGATTACATGAATGCTTCCTACGAGGAAAACACGGGGAGTTCTTTCAACATGTCTTTTCTAATTTATTAAGTTGTTTCCTTCTTTTAACTTTGTGAACGAATTACTGTAGGACAATTGATGTATTTGGCTAATTAATTGAAATTCTTTGGTGTAGTTGATAGATATTTTGCAAGTATTGTGGCTACTGAGTAGTTGTCTCCTTTCTCATGAATTCATATGGTTATCTTTTCTTAGGGTAGATTAAGAGCGAGATTTTCGGATGCGCGGTATGCGTGAGTACTTGTAATCGGTTGTTTGTCGAGTGCTCCTTGAAAATGCAAAATTTGTAGTGTAATTTAGGCTTCGTTTGGGACAGTTTTCTAATTACTTTTTAAAACAGCTTTTTAGTTTAAAAATTAATTTTTTTTAGTAGAAAGCTGCTTTAAAAAGCAGTAAGAAAGTCGTCCAAACGAAGCCTTAGTTGAATTTTGTAGCAAAGAACTGAGGGCTGAATACAGTTGGATTAGGTTCCTCCTTGTCGGCTTATTGCTTTAGAGATCTGCAATGTGTGGCTTTTGGTTTGGACTTGCTTGTGGCTAATTCAATATTTGTTGGCCCTTCTGAGCTGATCTAGATCCACTATAATCTGTTTCTTGTCAATTCTGCTTGATGGAAGAATTTGAGGATTTGTCGTTTAGATTTATGAGCAATAACTTAATATTGGGAAGCTGTACATAAACAAAATATCCTCTATTAGAAAATGGTTATGCCCCCATTATTGGAGCTATTATTGTGTGCGAACACTGGATGGTTCTCCCATCTGGTTAAGCGTTGGGTACCCAGCAATTTCGAGGGTTACCGAGCTTAGTGCCGAGCAATGGGGTGTGTGGTGCATTTTTATTGGTCTTCAAACTCCCTTCAGACTCCGCACAGAATAATAAATCCCATTTTATTGAGCCTATTTTGAGGAAATTCATGAGAGAGCCTCTATCATCAATCACTGAGATTACGTGGGTTATTAAGAAAAAATATCTCTGTGGGTTATTAAGAAAAATAAAATTATGTATATAATATTAAGTAAAATCTCAAAATAGTCGGTGGACTATTAATAAATATTCAATTAAGTCTCAAATTTTTATAATGTCTTAATTGAGTCTCTCGATTATTAGAAAATATTTTAATTTGATCCAAGACCAAAAGTTAATAATATTTATTAATTATTCACTCTTATTATTTAGTTGTTTCACTTTAATTATAATTTTTTATTATTTTAATATGATAAATAACAAATAATAATAATAATAATAATAATATAATCTTACATATATCATAATATCTAAATTATCCTCACATTTAATTGTTTATGTTAATTTTAACTATTATTTTTTGAGTTGAGATTAAAGTGGTATATTTTCTGATACTTGAAGAATTAAATTAGTTCATCATAAAAATCTGAAATTATATTGAATGTTTACTAATAATTGGAGGATTATTTAGAATTTTTTGTTTTTTTTTTCTATAATATTCTTATGATGGAGGCTCTCATTTTTTTTTTTTGGACATTTAGGCCATTAAGGCAAACTCACACACACAACGCATACACATAGACTCGAACCCTGAACCTCTTAGTTGGAAGCCTAAGCTCTCAACCAATAGGTCAAGGAGAGTTGCGTGGAGGCTCTCATTTGATATGCAGTCAGAATTAGTGAACGTACTTATTCCCAGTACATTTTCTGGTACTCATTTTAACCGCAAACAGGTCTGCAAAGGAATCAACTCAAACTTTAGTGGCTACTTAGGCTTCATTTGGGACGGCTTTTTTGTTATTTTTTAAAGCAATTTTTTAGTATAAAATTTTTTAATTTTTGTACTAAAAAACTGTTTTAAGAAGCAACAAAACAGTCATCCCAAACGAAATCTTAATTTCATTTGGGACAGCTTTTTTATTGTTTTTTGAAGTAGCTTTTCAGTAAAAAAATTTGAAATTTTTGTACTTAAAAACTGCTTTAAGAAACAGTAAGAAAATTATCATTAAGCTTCATTTGAAACAGCTTTCTTACTAGTTTTAAATTAGTTTAGGGTTTAGCATAAAAATTTCTAATTTAAAAAAAAATGAACTAAAAATTTATTTTTTAAAAAATAAAACAGTTATCTCAAATGAAGTTTTATTCTATTTTGCCTTTTTCTCAGATTTCTACCGGATGGCAGTTCATTGATTTCATGCTAACTTGATGAAGTTTGTAAAACAAAATAGTCTCAGGAGTCGAAAGTTCGAGAGCAAAATTTTAAAGTTTTATTTGGGTCAATTTCTTTGTTGCTTTCTAAAAAAAATTTGTATTACCAAAAAAAAAAAAAAACTGAATTAAAAATTTTTATACTAAAAAATCGTTTTAAAAAAATGATTATGATATTTTATAATATTATTTTGACTAAAATCACAATGGCTATATAACATCAGACGAAATCTTTGATATAATTGAATATAATAACATCTTTAATACAGCTATATTATCACTGTAAAGTGCTCGTATTTGACTGCATCTATATCATTATAAAGAGCACAAATTTGATCACATATATTTAACTATAAAATGTAAAAAATAATAATAATAAAGGATTTTTTAATTGAAATTTTTAAGTGTGAGAAAAATTCATCTATTTTTAATTGACATAGAAAAACAAAAGAAATAAATCAAGATTAAAAAAAAATATATTTAGGCTAATTAAGATACATTCATACATATCACATACGCAAGATTTGAATCCAAGATACCAATGATAATTCACTTTGAGTCCAAATGAATTCAAATCAAGCAAATGAGCTATGATTGAAAACTTTATGATATTCATTGAAGGACTAAATAGTTTTCAAATCTTATATACTTATAATCAAATCAAGTAGTTCAATGAGATGAATTGAGTGATTATAAGATCATGTAACTTTAGGGTCATTAAGGCTTCTAAATAATGAATGAATATTCCATGGTCATATGATTTAATAAGAGTATTTAAATGTATTATTTTAAAATTTTGATTAAATTTATCAAAGGCTACTCCCAAAGAAATTATAAATAGAACAACACTCCACGTAATGAGACCTAGACATCAGATTAGTGAGAATTTTGGGATGTGAAGAACTCTAGATCTTTAGTAGACATTCGATGTAGACGGTCACCACCAATCACTATCGTCATCGAACCATTGATTAACTACCATCGCTCGATCATCATAGCTAATTCTCCTTCAGTCAATCGCTATTATTTGACTATTGTCCCCAAACCACCATCATTCAAGTAGCATCGTCTGACCAACATCATTAAAATGACATTATTGACCACCATCGTTTGGTATCAATTCACAATCATCTGGATATTGTTGTTTGACTGTATTTACCTAACCACCATTCTCTGATTGTCATTTTTTGACCATCGTTATCAGATTATTGTTGGCCAATCATCACCATTTAACCCTTGCCGCCATGCTATTATCATCTATTCACTATCGTTTGATCATAATCATATGATCGCCATTGTTCGACAACCATCGCCTTGTCACCATTTTCTTACTATCGTTGCCTGATTAATATCGTTTGTTTGCCTACAATATACATAGAAAGTGGTCCTAACTTTATCAGCTCATCTTCTAATGTTTGTGGGAAAGAATGAACTTCTATAACTTAAAATATATAATGAATTATTTTAATAAGATTATTCTTAGTGGTTCTTTTCCTTTAAGAATTATTCATGTAAAATTTTTTATATATCATATATTCTTCTTCATGTGAGTGTATTGTATCTTCATGCAAAGCTATGCTATAAAACTCTCACAACGTTAATTTTGTAAATAAGTAGAATGATTCTATTATGTTCGACTCAATATTTATTTAGTTTTAAACACAAAAAATTGGGAATGAGTCAAACACAGATGCACAACAAGCTCTCTTAAACTTTGCTCTTTTATTCTCCCAGTAAAACCTAAATTTGACATTGGTGTTTTATCACACTCTAGGATCTAGATTGGAAAAATTTTCATTCGTCTTTCAACCATTTAACTAGAGCTTACCAATGAACAGCGGAAAGAAACATGATTGCACTTTTATCTTGTTCGGAGCCTCTTATTATAGGATCATTATCCTTTCCTTTAAACATACAAAACCACGTAATGAGCACATAGCCCAACAAATAACTAAAATCTTACAGTTGAAATAAATGCAAGATAAAAGAGAACAATATGTTATAAATTATATAAAAAAAATATATGCATCAATGTATATACAGATTATCAGTATCAATTTATCATTCTATAGTTCATCACATCTTAATCCATTATATTATCAACCACAATATTAGTGAATATCAATATTATTAATGCTAGTAATAATATTAATATCATGATCAATAATGTTAAATAGTATTAATGATAGAAAATAATATTAATGTGAGTCACAATATCAATACAATATTCGTAGTAGTGTTAATATTAGTATTCAAATATTCAATTATTGTATCTTAAGTATGTTACTCCTACACTTATGACTTCCATTCAATGTACTCCTTATAACTCCCCTTGAATTACGTGAATCAGTCATCTCGACTATTTATAACTTTCAATCAATCTCTAGCAACTTATGACTCCCAATCAGTGGATCAGTAGGATATCACGAAGATTTATTATATCATGCATTTGATATCATTTAATACTTCATTTAAAATGTAATAAAATCATATCAAATAATTCAAAATGATCAAATTTACACTGTGAAAGCTTATAAAATCAAGAGATAATAGATTTTTGATAAATGTAGGAGAAATAAATCTGTTGAAATCAAAATAATTGAAAACAAAAATAAGAGATTAGTCACTTATAATGAATATAACAAAATATGTAACATGAATGACTGATAAATATGATCCAAATGATTTTCTCTCCCCTCTCTCTCCTACCACTCTTTCAATTTCTTCCTGGTCAAGCAATCAAGTGAGGGTGTCGGTGGGGTGAGAGTGTGAGACAAGGATATTTATAAATATATATACATAAATACTGTTCATGCCCTAGCACAACAGTGCTCACCAAATTAGCACTAAAGCGCTTTACTTCAGAATTTTCATATTTTCAAAAAAAAAAAAAAATCTCATATTTAAATTATTACATGTTTAAACATTTGCCTTATAAAAAGAGGTTCAAAATTGAATTCAAATGAAATTAAAGCTAAAAGATTGAATGTTGTAATTCTCATATCACATGTTAAAACTATAACGCCAAACTTTTTACAAGTTCGATTAACATTCAAACAAGGCTTGATCACTTTAGGAAAAATATTCAAATTAGATTTGTATGAGTTTCAAATCATATTAGAACATCGTAAGAAATATGATTCAAACCCTTTCGAAATGTCGAACAAACTTTGCAAAAGAAACTATATTTTACATATGTGTATCTATCAAAATTGTCACAATATCATTTGAATTACGGGCGAAATATAATTTGTTTGATAATTTTGTATTATGCCATTTAAGAGTATTGAGATCCAAAATATATATGAGTGATATTTAAAAAATAAAATATAACTTGAGTACAACAATAACAACAAGGCTTTTTCCCACTAACTCGGTCGGCTATATGAATGCTTTTTATCCATTTTGTCATATTAATAGTCGAATTCTCATTTAAATATAATAAAAAATCATTTTTAATACTTCTAATCAAGCTTTTTAAGTTATTAACATACCCAGGATCTAAATATATATACTATCCTAATAGGATCATTAGAAAGTCGACATTTTAAAGGGCCAAACCATCTAACCCTACTCTCTCTAATCTTATATGTCACTAGTTACTTCAACAATTTCACGTATATACCAGTTTTACATTATTTCTAAATGCAAAGTCATGCATCCACCTAAACATTCTCATCTCTATGCCACTCTTACTTCTATGCTTCTCTTTTAATGATCAATATTCTGCAATACAAAATATTAGATGCCTCATCATCACCTTCATTGTTAGTCTGACTATTTAATATAACGCGCCATTTTTTTATAAATGACTTAGAATAAGATAATGAAAGTATTATAAAAGATAGCTCCAGTATTATAAAAAAATCATTAAATGATTTCTTATTACTTAAGTTATTTTTATTAGAGTAATAAATAAAGTAAAATTTCTTTATTTTTTCACATTTAAAGCTCTCAATTAAAAAAAATATATATTTATTATTTATTAAGATAAACTCCACGGAAGCTCCATTTCCATACGGAACATATTCTGCAGGCGAGGATAAATCAATAGTTTAATACGCCATTTGAATTTCTATGGTTATCTGCTCAACCTTTTTATAATGAGCTCTTCCCTGTCCTGTACACGAGCACCGACGAAGTTTCTCCCTCCTCTCTCACTCTGAAGCCACTTCAGTTAGTCGGAGATGCAGCGTGTTCTCGCAGCGCGATGCGCGGCAGCTTCTCTGAAGCAGCTGAAGAACCCTAGAGCATTTTTCTCCACTTCCCTTCTCTTCGATGATACCCAAAAGCAGGCATTAATCTATCCCCCTTTTTTGCGATTAAAATCGGTTCCCAACTCGCCATGGTGCCTTGTCGATTTGATCGTGGTGTCGGATAATTTTGTTTGATGAAATTTATTCTGTATCTCAATCATGCTGATTGTATTTAGAATTTCATTGTCTATGATTGTATGCTGCTTCCTTGTTGCAATATTTTTTTTTGGGATTTTACGTACATACTACTTTATTTCATATTATTTATTAGGGCTGTCAATATTTGACATGACACGAAAATCCGACTCGGACTCGATATGAAAAATCCGGGTTGGTTGGACCCCACCTGTTTGAAAAAAAGGGTCGGGATCGAGTTCGCAGATTAGACCTGTTTTTTTCAAACGGGTCAGGTTAGAGTTGACCCGACGGATTTATTTTTTAATTGTTGGCAAACAAGTTTTGAAGTCTCTAAACCTTTCATATAAGTGGTTTGTAAGTGCGTTCTTTCACGCGATTCGAATTGGAGCCCTTAGGTGAAATTCTTAGTAGCTTTCGTTTGGAAAGATCCTGAGTCAGTTGGGTTTTAACAGTTTATATTTGATGCACAAAAGTTCAAGGCAGTATTGATTTTGATTACGGCTATAATAGAGCTGCATTTTCCAGTGATCTCATCTGGAAACAGTGCCAAACAAGTGAGTATGATTGCACTGGTTGAGGTTGAGTCAGATTCGTCTTATGTTCTAACTATTTGATACTGCATTATGCAACTGCTGTTCAACTAACCAATTTGGTGGAAATCATAATGCTATTTAAAAAAAATGGAAAGATGATGTTTCCTGATTAGAAGCTGTTTTGATGGACATAAAACAAAGTTATCTGAGAATCCATTCAGCCTAAGCTAAATAATGTTTTTACATGATTTTTCTTAATACAATCCTTGTAAAGACTTGAATTGATTTTTCTGAGATCAACATGTATTTCTACCAATATCATAGATATTATTTTTTTCTAGCTGCCGGAGGCTGTTCCTTAAACTCAAATATTATCAAGAAGAAAAGTTAGTTTTAATTGCAGAAGTTTTTACTCATTTATTAACTTCGCCCAGCTAACTGTAAATCATCCGAGTTTGAAGTACTTAAAATACCATTTCTTGTAGCTCAGGTTTTATGATTTGCTATAAACTAGATGTTAACTGTTGTTTAGTGCAAACAGTAGAATTCCATTGAAAATTTCAACTAGTTTTTTAGTTGATTATGCCAGCCCTTAAGCTTTGTGTCCATTTTGGAGAATTTGTTGACCTGAAATTCTATTTTTAATAAATCTGAGTTTTTTTATTTGCTAATTTTCTGGCACTTTATTTTTTTTGTTTATAATGAAGTTTAAAGAGAGTGTTCATCAGTTTGCACAAGAAAATATTGCTCCTCATGCAGCAAAGTTGGATGCAACAAATCAAGTTCCAAAGGTTATACAACTAATCCGTTATTGAATTCTTGTACTAGCTTACTGTTTACTGATAATTGTACTATCATTTAGGACGTTAACCTGTGGAAACTTATGGGAGATTTCAATCTTCATGGCATCACATCACCAGGTAAGATTATGTAGCATGCATGAAGTTGGGCTTTACTTTCTTCTATAAATCTGTTCACTTACTTTTCCGGGCCATTATTTGAAGATCATTGTTCCTTGAGTTTAACAAGAAACTCAATCATTACCTTCCTTGCTAGTTACTAGAGATTGACCTGAGACTAAGCTTTAATGATGGATTTCACTCACAACGTTGAATTCTCTTTTCCGGGAGAATATCAAGATAATAGTGAATAATGAGAGTTGAATAAATCTTCAGTTGCCTATGTGTGTGTTAATTCTCATACACTAGCCTTTACCAAGTATGTATTGTTTGCTACAATTTCACTGCATATATGAATTATCTTATTTTGCAATGCGTGATAGTTGAACGGTGGCAAGTTTAAAATAGAATTTAAGATTTTGACCCGTTTCTAAAATCAGTTTGGGTTGACCCAAAGATGAGTTGAATGCAACCCGGGTGAGTGTTGGTTGTTTGTTCTCTCTCATTCTCTTCTCGATTTTGCTCTCGCACTTGCCTGCACAATAATCGCGCTTGTATCGCACGCAACACATGCGACTGTTCACACTCGCACCTTGCACCTGCACTACCCCCAACTGCGCTCCGCTCGCACAGAGCATGCATGCTTGCACACCGCAAGGACGCTGGCCGCACCCGCACCCCGCAGCCGTGCTATCACCCCCCGCACTCTCTCTCGTGTCGAGCAGCTTGCACCTCGCCCTTGCCCCTCTTCCGCGTGCGTCTCGCACCTTGCTGGCTTCTCGGAACTTGGGTTAGATGGGTCGGGTTGGGTCAACTCGAAAACCCAGCGGGTTAGGTCTGGGTCTAAATTTCTGACCTGTTTGCCTAATTAGGTTGGGTTCAAGTTGAATTAGTTGAACGCTTGTCAGTTTAGAGTTGGACTAGAACTCGACCCGAAAACCCATTTTGACACCCCTACATACCATAGCTGATCTAGTCCACACTCCACAGTGCTATCCAGGGGATTATACTCCTTGCATTTTAACTTAGCAGCACTAACCCATTCATTGGGATCTTCAAAAACAACAGAACTTGAAGAACATATCAGAAGCATGGGAGGACAAGCAATAAAATTGTGAAAGATATTGCTCCCTCTCAACATTTCCACATGTTGCTTAAGACGGCCCCTAATTTCAACATCCCCTAGAGGATCGTACCTATCAATGGCACTCCAAATGACATCCTCATTAGGCTCACCAGGAGGCAAGTCGTCGGGTCTCCACCATTGGAACATCATCTTGCATAAGAGAAGATTAAAAAAATGCATGAAGAAAGAAGAAATAAATCTAAATGCATAAGGAAAGAGCTGTAAGCGAAATAATCTTATGATGGTCAACCGAGTTACAACAAATATGGTTCGCTCTAGACGCGTACCATATTTGTTGGAGGCATTTGTTGATCTCTATATAAGTGTCACTACTAATGCAAATAAAGGAAATTATGATCGATGATTGCTATAAAAATCAATTTGTCCAATTATAAAATGGATCGCATCAGTGCATTCAGGACATCGAATTTATCAAAGAAGGGCCACTCATCTGCAACTCGGTTAAAAATCGATGATGAAAGCGAAATTTGGTGGGTGCAATGCTTTACTAAATTGCTCGAATGTCTTTTAATCGCCAAGCAAACCGAGCCATTGTGATTAGCGCATTGAATTTACCTAAGGAGAGACCCTTCATAATCGATTTGAACAAAAGTGGTAAAAATCAACGGTCTACAGACGTGACGATATGTGACGTTGCTCGAAAGACGTTCGTTCATGCTCACCGTTGTGTCTGAATCGTTGAAATCATATAGAAACGACTGTAATATTGTTTGGGTCCTTGCATAAATGAATACTCAAAATTGACACAAATTTCAAGATGATATGAATTTCGAGAAAACTGCATGAGGTTCAATACACATATTTTTTTCTTTTTTTTTTTATTTCATTTCATTTTATTTTTATTTTACATAATGAAATAAAACTCAAAAAAAGAACCCATATGTAATATTCTAACCTAATATTCAAAACCCTCTTATCCGTGACCAAATCTCTGCAAATTGGCCATCGCATTCCCTATATATGCAATGCCTCCCTATCAAATCCCGTCAACTGGTTGTGAGAATAAAAAAAAAAACTTCTCTCCTCATCTCATCCTCATACTCATCTCCTAGTGTCGAATCCCACATCCAAAATGAACCCCACTTCCCCTCAATATTGTTTGAAAAGCTCTTCACTGCAAAAACCTTATGCTTTAGCCCACCTTATGCTTTAGCCCTGCCTCCTTCCCTTTCCCTTACTCTTCCTCTCATCTGACCTCCACAAACCCAAACACTGGCCTCGATTATTAGTGGCATTTGGTATCTCTTTTTTATTAGCCCTTTTCTTTCATTGTCTTTCGGACTCTATACACTCTAGTGGGCATAATTTCGGTTTCTTTCTTTCTCTGAGGAGCTAGGCTTGGGGCTATTGCTCCCAAAATGACTTTCAACTTCCCAGTTGAGCTATTTCTTTTAACCCATTTTAGATTTGCATATTTATTTTGGGTAGGAATGTTAGACTCTAGCTCCAAAGTTGGGAGCATTGATGGATGGATGGGCAGTGGTTGCTAAGCCCACAACATTGCATTCTTATTTCTTATGTGCCTCCTTATTAACTTTTCTCTATATGAAGAGGCTTCAGCGTCATACCTTCCAAATGCGAATGGCTTGTTTGGCAAGACGATGGTGTTGGCAGGCATCACAACAATTTTCTTCCTGGCTAAAATGCTTTTCAAAGCTAGGGTCCCTAATTGAGATAGCCTATCAAAAATTGAGGCCCTTTTTTGGGGGACCTCATTAACAGCAACAACTTTGGCTTGTTGTGGTCGTCATGATGAAAGGTGCACACGACTAGTAGTGACTTCAGTAAAATGAGGTCCCCTGACAGGCCCTTTGGTAACCATGTTGCATACACGAACGATAATAGTTTGTGCAGTAGTTGCAGACAATTGCAAACCCCCAAATTGGATGGTTGTACTGGAGTTTTCAATATTAATAACAACATTGACCAGTTGAATATTGACACCATGTCCCAGCTGAAACGTAAAAGGAGTCTTCCGGAGGTCTATTATGTACGAAAAGAAAGATGGGTATTAGTAATCAAAATATGATATATTACCCCGTACTTTCAAAGCTTAGGAACTCGACAGAAAGAAATAAGATAAATTTATAACTTGTGTAATTTCAAAATACCGTTTAAAGAGTTTTAATGAGTTTTAATTAAAAAAAAATTCATTTCATGAATGATATTTAAATTTTAACTCATTAGATTTTGTTGTTACTTTAGTTTAAATATACGACTAGCTAAAGATGGAAAGAAAAACCCTCCTTAGTGGAGTCGTTAGAAATTTGTTGGGCGCTGAAAATTTTAGCTTTAGGCCTTGGCCTCTCCGCATTATATCATGGAGAGTTTTAATGAATTAAGTTTCGGAAAATTTTTTTGTAAGGCAGAGTAGATAGAGATAAGATACTACACAGAGATTTTGTCATGTTAGTGAGAGTTTTAAGATATGAGTTCTGGTTTCCTATAGGTGCTAACCTCTATAGTTAATTATCCCTCCCAATAATTAGAGAGATCTTTCGATTAAGGTTGTTCGTTGAATATATATGTAGTATCCAACGTATAGTAGCAGTAGATTTAGAATTTAAAATTGAAAATTTTATCACTCGTCACTTAAAGAAGATGGAGGGGGAAATGATAATGAACTCGATCAACATCCCATGGTTCCATCATCCTGGGCCATCATGGTCCCTACTCTACTTGTTAGAGGAGGTAGTGAACCTAACTTGATCGAAGAAGACGCGAAAGGAGAAGAACCGAGGCGGGATTCACGCTGGAATCGCGGGAGATGACCTATTCGGCGCCGATTTCAGCTGAATTTGCGGCAGAATTCACGGATCTGTCGGATTAGAGGTTTGTATGCTGGATTTTTACTTTGCTTTCTCCTCTCTTTCATTCGTTTGGGTATTATATGAAGGTTAACAAGGAGGTAGTGAACCTAACTTGATCGAAGGATCCTTATCGGTAGCCATGGATTATGTTATCCAATGGTACTTTATAGACTTGGGGTGAATATTTGTCTAAGGAGACATATTTGCATCCACCTTAGCTAATAAAAGGCTTTATGCCCCGTCGATTATACCTTATTAATTTATTACTCAAGGTTTTAAATTTATTGGGGAACATATGGGCTCTGGCCGTGACCGTAATTTAGTGGTATCATTTGGAGGCAAAATCACATGGTCATAACCATTTACCTGTGGTGTCATTTAGCGGCGAAAACATCAGTTAGAGGACATGTGCCACGTTTTTACTGGTAGGAGATGATTTGAGTATGATTCCTAGTGATATTTTCGACTAGACATTCACTCTTTATGAGCTGAAGTGATTTCAAATTTATCCACATCGACAAACTGTTGTCAAGTTTGGATGAATTTTTACTTTAACTATTTAGGTGATTAATTTCATCTTAAATATTTTAGATTTTAGTGATTTCGAAATTTTAAACTTTATAATTGCCTTTATTTGCATTAGTAGTGACACTTATATGGAGGTCAACAGGTGTTTGCAGATCTATATCTAAGTTTGTATCCCACTCAAGATTGATTAATCACTTTGCCTACACATTCTTAAAAGTCTTAAGAAGGGGAAACCACCAAGCAGCTATTTTCAAGCTTAATTGCTTAGCACTCTCATCTTCTCTTACTGTTTATGAAAGGAAGCTTTGATCCTGCAAAAGCAGGGAAATAATATCATTATAATTCTAATATTAGAGTTCAACCTCCTACCCAGAAGCAGTATCAATTTGAGATATTAGACTTGGCATGGAAAAAATTTGTATATATTAAGATGACAGGGACTAGATACATAATGATTTGGTACCAATTATATAAATCATTTAAGGATTTCAAGAAGAAAACATTAAGCTGAAGCTGACCCAATATGATTAGGATAAAGTTAACTTCAAATGTGATTCCCTATTAAAGAATTTGATGGTATACATTCTTTATCTTGTTCATGTACTAAAAATATTTGTAGTTTTAGCTTACTCCTAATCTTTTAGGTCCGAGAGCTTTTTAGTGACTATATATATAAACTATTGACAAATAATAACAAAATTATTTATGCACCAGAGGAATATGGAGGCCTTGGTCTCGGTTATCTTTACCATTGCATAGCCATGGAAGAAATCAGTCGGGCTTCTGGATCCGTTGGTCTTTCTTATGGCGCTCATTCAAATCTTTGCATTAATCAATTGGTAATGTAGCTTGCAGTTCTAAAATGTTTCATACTAGAGGATGTGACGGAATACTAATAACCATAATAAATGACTTTTTTTCACCATGAAGGTCCGAAATGGAAATACTGCACAGAAGCAGAAGTACTTACCGAAGGTTATCTATTAGCAACTCATCACATGCACTTCTATTTTTGGCTTGACTGGTTCCCGATAATTTCTTTTTATTTCATTAATCCGGTATTTTTACCTCGTTTATTCCTAACCACATGTGGGGCTTGAGCTCTACCTGGTAGCCTGTTCAAATAACGAACTGCATTTTGTCATGTAGCTAATCAGTGGGGAACATGTGGGCGCATTGGCAATGAGTGAACCAAATGGTAAATTGATCTCTGACAGTTATTGTTTGTTACTTCTTTTATTTCTCGTATTTTTTTCTTTTTTGAAGAATATATCGGGCTTTTCACATATTCCAGCTGGCTCTGATGTTGTTAGCATGAAATGTAAAGCTGATCGTGTTGATGGTGGTTACATCATAAATGGAAACAAAATGTGGTGTACAAATGGGCCAATTGCTCAGACGTTGGTATTCCTTTTTATCTCCGATTCTACTGATGGATTACACCCATTGTGAAATTGTCATTTATTGTGTATCAGATTCTCTGTTAACTGAACAACTTTCTTAACAAATTATTATAAAAGGGGCGTGTCACTAAATTTAGTTGTCTTTTGTAAGCCTTAAGAATCTTTCCTTCCCCTAAAAGGCCCTTGCTTTGGTGACTCTCCTTAGTTTGAAAACTTCCAACGATACATTAAAAGCTCACCTTGCACTAGGTATCAATTCTATATATTTTTAATTTTTGTATGGATATTTTATTCATTTGTCTTTTCAGCCTTATTTTTATTTCATAATTTTGTCAGGGCAGCCTATTTCATTAGATTTGCTATTTATTTTATATCAATAAAAATATTTTTATGAGTTACATAAGAATATTTGGCATGATTTGAATGACCTAGATGTGGTAACCCTTCTTCTTCATACATTTTGAGAGACTTGAAGTATTCTCTAATTTTCTTGTTCAAGCTAGATGCTTGCCTATTTGGTTGTAAATTTTTTTAATAGTTCTGATGTAGAACGAGAATGACTACGACGCCTCCTGTGATAGATGCGCCAAATCTTCGTGCCGATGTCCGCATCAAGTTCTTCCTATATTTTCATTCAGAATATTTATCTTTTACTTCCTCTTTATTATCTTTTCTATTTTTTTTGTCATCCTACATTAAATTAGTATTAGAGCAATAATTCATTCCTTAAAGTTCAAGAAACTTGAGTTTTGAACTACTTAATCATCTAAAGCGTTATCAAATCTTAAGGTTAACCTCTTCATTTTTTTAAATTTCATGAATTTTCGATTTCCTCACTGAAAATCTCATTTCTCTCTCTTAATTTTCTCTTTTTTTTACTTTATTTATTCAAAAAATTCTCTCTCTACCTTAACACATGTCTAGCCTTATCCCAACACTGAAATTCATATCCATTTTATTTCTAATAGGGTTTAGAATTACTATCCTTAATTATTTCTCTTGTCAATGATCCTTTAAAACCTTATCCATCTCATAAAACACTCATTTAAACTTATTTTACCTATAATCAAAATATATATTTAACCATCCTCTACATCATTATAATAGATATAGAAATCTGTTTTCTTTCTGAGCTAGCTTGCCACTTTAACTTACAAGGCGGTGCATGTTTTTCTGCTGTTGTTTTTTTCCCTTTCTGTTGAAGGTTTTTAGATCTTTTTCCGTAAGGAAATTAACAAAAGTCAAGTTTTGACTGTGGACTACGATCCAGGTGAATCTTGTCTTACTAATGAAAGTGCAAGTACCAATCCTGACATTTGTAACTTGATGATCACTTTGTACTTCCTCCATTAGAAGTATCATCCACCTTTTGATTATTTATAGTTTAAGTAGCATGAACTAAATGAAAATCTATGATGCACAGACACGGACACGGCGACACGGATACGACACGACACGGACACGGGACACGCCAGTTATTGAAAACATAGGACACGGACACGGGTTGGACACAATATTATAGTTTTTATATTTAAAAAATAGTGTATAAAAATTAAATAAGTATAATTTTAAAAATAATTTGAAAATAATAAGTCATTTAACTAGAATTTATGCTTAAAATGATTAGTATTAGGATGTCGAGAGTCAGACGTCGATGTCATTTATCAGTCACTGAGAGAAGAGATGAAAATACCTTCACTGCAAAAAAGAAATGAAAATGAGAATATTCGATGATTAGGTATTAAGTGCGGATGTTGATTTGGTGTTGGGGATAAGAAATAAGAAATTTAGTTTAAATCCCATCAAATACAAGAAATTTTATTTAAAAAAATTCATAAAATATTTAAGATACGCATGTCGGACACGCGTGTCCAATTTGTATTTAATATTTTTTAATCGGACAAGTTTTCGGCGTGTCTGACACGTGTCAGAGGAGTGTCGGACGAGTGTCGGACGAGTGTCGTGTCGGATACGGTGTCGGACACTGCACGCCTCTTTGAGGAGAAGTGTCGGTGCATCATAGATGAAAATTTGATTCTTAATAGGATACAATAGAGAAAAATGATTCAAGTAGCCGACCCCTCATGGTGGAATAAAAACTTGATGTTGTTATTGATGCATTGTCCCTATCGCACTAGTGAGTAAATTACTTTGCATCTTTGGATAATTGATGAAGACAATTTTGAATTTTATGGATATTTAAGGCATATACTGATCTTGTTGTCATTTCATTTTTTTTGGTTAGTAGTTTTAGACTGTGTTATTGACTTGTAGTTTGTCATTTCTTTTACCTAATTATGCATCCGAATAATACGAGGATATTTTGACATGAACACAATATTTTGAATATGGAGGCCGATATTAATCACCAATTTCTTGATTTTGATTGTCGATTAGGTAACGTGTTGGGGTGGTACAATGGCCATAGGATTCTTTTTTTTTTTTTCTTTCCTTTCTACTTAAAAGTTTAATCTACAAGTTAAGGAAACCACTAATATTTGAACATGATACTTTTCAGTTAGATTGAGTTGAACAATACCTCTATACTCCCACATAAGAAGGCGTAGTACCTAGTGCAAAGGCTTTACATTGATGTTGATTCTGAGGAGAGGTTGATGCACCTCAGCCTTGCATTGTGGAATGCTTTGCTTTTTTCTTTTTTTGGTGTTTCGGACCCATGACCCATAGATCATCTATGATCTCCCATGACTTAATGAATCTCTCCTCATGAAACGTGTCATACAAGTGCTGATGTGACTTTAGCTCTTTTATAGGTGAATTTTCTTGAGGTAATACTTGATAAAATGTTGTTTCAATCTCTTAAGTTTAACTATTGACTATGGTATCATTTGTAATGGAGCGCGGATCAAAGGGGGGTAAAACTTAGTCAAATGCAACATAACAGTAACTGGGTAGCTATCTGACACCAAATGTCAAAATTGAAGTTCAACTAATGGCATGCTAGTACCCGACTCTAGTTCTCAATCTCATATTTCAGCTCTTTGCGTGCCATAAAACAGATATATGGTTTGCATGATATAAGACGAAGATTGAATGAGCTGATGAAAAAAGACTCCATTTTGCATCATATGCTATGCAATAATGTTCGCATTTGCAAAGCTAACCGGTGGTTGCTCCTAAATATACCATGTTATAATCTTTTTAAAAATCTTGGAAATTTGAGAAACACTGTTTATGTTTTAAGCAATTATCCAGTTCTATGTGTTTTCCTTTTACCTAAAGTAATTATACTTTCTGAACAAGTTCTTGCGATTTTATAATGCTATCTTATGAACTGCTCATTTGGATGAAGACAGCTTCAGTAATGTGGAGAAAATTCATCTTACTGATAAAGTAATTTTGCTATAGGTTATTTATGCGAAAACAGACATTAATGCTGGATCAAAAGGAATCACAGCTTTCATAATCGAGAAAGAGATGCCAGGGTATTCCCTCTTGATTTCTTTTTTTATTTATTTTACTTTAGGATATTCCTTCTCTTCTCCACCATCCCTACCTCCCTTTTTTGAGTTGAGATATTTTCACATTTCACTAATTTGTTTGCATTTTGTTCCTAGCTTTTCGTAACATTACCGGGATACTTTTTATTACGAGAGGAGATAGACTTTAGTTTGAGGAGTTTAATTATCTAATCTGTTTCTTTTGCACAATTTTTAAAAAAATTGTTTTCGTTTTGAATATCCTATTTTTATATTTTGCAGATTTAGTACTGCTCAGAAACTGGACAAACTTGGTATGCGAGGGAGTGATACGTATGTTTTGCTTTCATATGGCAATATACTAATACTCATCCCCTTAAATTAATCTTATTTATTTTCTAATGCTTGTGTTCTTTCAGATGCGAACTTGTTTTCGAAAACTGTTTTGTTCCTCAAGAAAATGTTCTTGGACATGAAGGAAAAGGTATTTTGAGCCTATTGACATATTGTTTGTTGAAATATGGATTATATATATATATTGTGTGTGGAAGATTCATTTTAGTATGCTTATGAAAGAATTAGAAGAGAAATAGGGAGGAAGAAAAGTTAAATAATGTGTATTTTAGTAAGAAAGGTAACACAACTAACACAGTACATTTTTTTTCCGTAAAACTTGCTAAATTTATTTATTAGAATCATTAGACAACCCATAATTGCTTCTTACCATGTCTACTAGTAATTGCAGCTTCGCTATTAACCTTCATGTGTGTCTTGTGATTAATTTGAGTAAATACCATGAGGATTACGACCAATTAATGTGATGTCACATGAAATGGGTTCAAAACACCTTGATGGTAATAGAAATCGCACAAACTTCTCATGTTTGCAAAATAGGCTATGATGATGGGTCTTGAGCATCAAAATCACCTAAGAAGCATTTCCTATGATTAATTTTTTTTAAAATTTTTTTATCAAAATGTCAAACAATAGATATGATGTAGAGAAAAAGTCACTCGAACATTATTCATTTACAAATGGATTTTCCCAATGCATCTAAAATGTTAAAGTCTTTCGGAAGAACACCCATATTGCTTGTGCTATCTCACAAGGCGAAACATAAATTTATTGTGAAACCCTAAAAATATTAAATGATACAACAATAACAACAACAACAACAACATCAAGCCTTTATCCCACTACATGGGGTTGGCTACATGAATCCTTTTTCTCTATTGTGTCATATTAAAAGTCAAATTATCATTTAAATCTAATAAAGAAAGGTCATTCCTAATATTTTCAATTAATAAGCAAGTCTTTTTAGGTCTACCCTACATTTCTTAACCAGTCAATTAATATTCTACTCTATATAACCGGGGATCATGAGGGTCGCCTTTTTATGTGACAAACCATCTAAGGGCTCTCTCTAATCTTATTTCATAGTCTGAGCAGTATAACTCCAACCTTTTCTCGTTATCATTTCGTATCTATCTCAATGGTAAAGCACTCATCACCTGAGCAATCTCATTCTGAACAATTAGGTATTAATAGCTTCTTTTAATGGCCAACATCGGCATAAGTTGGCAAGGCTAACCTACTTTCGTTATAGAATGTTTTCGCTATAAGTTTGAGGGGTACATTTCTATGCAACCAGCCGATGCATATCACTCCATTCAACCATCCAACTTGAATTTGTATAGATATATCCCCATGTATTTCACCAATCACTCTGTTATAAATAAGAATCCCAAATATTACAAACGTGTACTCTTATTATGAACTTAGATGTCAAAGTCACAATTCCTTCACTAGGTCTATTACTATAAAATTACACTCTATAATATTCGTTTTAGATCATACTCAAGCGAAAACCTTTAGCACTAAGGTTGACCTCCATAATTAGTTTAACCTTCACTCCTCTCTAGTTTTTATCAACAAGAACGAATATATAGCTAAAAGCATACAACCAAGGGTACATCCTTTGCAAATGTCTACATGAGAAATCATCAACTAAAAGCAAAAAGATATGTGCTTAAGGCTGTCCTTGATGTACACACCGACAATACAGGTAGGAAGTATTGGTAACCACCCTTTGTGTTTTGATAACAAGTAATAGCTCTGCCATACTATCTTTATAG